TAGCAATAAGTAAGAGAAAGTTGGAATAGCGACATCAGTTCCAGACAAAGTGGACTGCAGAACAAGGGAAATTATCATGGATAAACCCAGGTGCGCTGAGTCAGTTCCATCTCACGGTGACCCTGTGAACAACAGGATGACTCTGCCTGGTCCTGCACCAGCCTCGCAGTCACTGCTGTATCTGAGCCCATTGTCGCAGCCACTGTCCATCCATCTTGTGGAGGGTTTTCCCTTTTTCACTGACCTTCTATTTTACAAAGCATGATGTCCTCCTCCAGGGATTGGTCCCTCTTGAGAACATGTCCAAACTACGTGAGATGAAGTCTTGCCAATCTTGCTTCTAAGGAGCATTCTGGCTGTACTTCCTCCAAGACACATTTGTTCATTCTTCTGGCATTCTTTGCCAACACCATAATTCAAAGGTATGAATTCCTCAGGAGCTGTGGTGGCTTAGTGCCTGAGGCATTTGACTGCTAACCAGAAGACTGGCGGTTCAAACCACCAGCCACTCTTTGGAAGGTGGGTTGGCAATCTACTTCAGTAGTGATGCTGCCTCGGGAACCCAAGGAGGCGTTGCTATGAGTCGGATCCGACTCAATGGCAGTTGCGTATGAATTCTTCATTGGCCTTCCTTATTCATTGTCTACCTTTCACATGCATATGAGGGAAATGAAAATATCATGACTTGGGTCAGGTGCACCTTAGTCCTCAAACTGGCATCTTTGCTTCTTAACACTCTGAAGAGGTCTTTTGTAGCAGAGTAGCCCAATGTGATGCATCACTTGACTTCCTGACTGCTGCTGCCATGGGCATTGATTGTGGATCCAAGTAAAATGAAATCCTTGACAATTTCAATCTTTTCTCCACTTATCATAATGTTGCTTACTGGTCCAACATAAGGATTTTTGTTTTATGTTGAAGTGTAATCTATACTGAAGGCTGTATGTAGTCTTTGATTTTATCAGTGAGTACTTCGAGTACTCTTCACTTTCAGCAAGCAAAGTTGTGTTGTCTGTATATCTCAGGCTGTTAGGGACTCTTCCGCCGATCCTGATGTCATGCTCTTCTTCATACAGTCCAGCTTCTCAGATTATTTGCTCAGCAGACAGACTGAATAAGTGTGGGGAAAGGACACAACCCTCATGCACTCCCTTCCTTGTCTTAAACCATGCACTATCCCCTTGTTCTGTTTGAATGACTGCCTCTTGGTCTATGTACAGGTTCTACATGTGCACAATTAAGTATTTCCACTCTTCATAATGTTATTTATAGGCGATGTGGTGATTAAGTTCAGAAGGAGTGGAGTTAGAGTGTCTAGTTGGGTCTGAAACCCGATTTTGCTACCTATTGGCTGTATGGGAGCTCTGGTAGCATAGTGGCTAAGATACTTGCCTGCTAACCAGACGGGTGGCGGTTCAAACCCACCAGCCACTCCTCAGAAGGAAGGTTGGACAATCCTACTTCCGTAGTGATACTGCCTCAGAAACCCAAGGAGGGGTCGCTATGAGTCAGGTATGACTCAACGGCACATAACAACAACAACAACAACAACACTGGCTGTATGACCTTCGGCAAACTGCTTAACACGATATCCTCATGTGTAAAATGTAAAACAATAACAGTACCTAGGTCAGAATGAAGATGAAATGAGTTTACATATATATGTACCTATGCGTATGTACATGCATGTAAACGTACATTATATGTACACATACACACACACACAGTTGTTGCTAGTTGCCATCCAGTTGGCTCTGACTCCTGGCAACCACACATACAACAGAATGCTACTCTGCCTGGTCCTGCCCCATTGTCATGACCGTTGGTGTGTCCGAGCCCACTGCTGCCTCGTGTGTCAGCCCACCTCCCTGAGGGCTCCCCTTGTGTTTTGCTGTATGAGTACAGACATACCTCTCCTTTACCTTAACTTCTAACAGTGTCTAAGAAATACGACGAGCACATAGCACGGGGAGCAGCAGAAAGCATGTGAGTGGACATAGCACACACAGAACGCTTTGTAAACATTTGCTGATAATGATGGTGTTCTAGTGATTGTTTTCAACTTGTCATTTTCTTTAACGTAAGGTTTCTTTTGGCTTTAGAGATGGTTCTGTTTTTATTTTGGGAAGAAAACTGGTCTCAACCCTTTCACTTTCCTCTGTGTGTCAATAAGTTGAAGTAGCTCAGGTTATTTATAATTCTAGTTGCCCCCTTGGATTATAAGGTTTAAACACACCTGGAAATTTCAAGTCAGGCTATGGTCATCCTTTATTTATCCACACTTTATTCATGCATCCAAATTAATGAGTACAGGCATACCTCAGAGAGCTACATTGTGGGCTCTGTTCCAGGCCACCACAACAAAGCGAGTATCACAATAAAGCTAAAGTGGCCTCCCAGTGCGCATAAAGTTATGTTGACACTAGGCGGTAGTCCCGGAGTGTGCAATAGAATTATGAAAAGTTTGAATAATTACCAAATGTGACACAGAGCCATAAAGTGGGCACATGCTATTGGAAAATGGCACCAACAGACTTGCTCAATACAGAGCTGCCACAAGCCTTCAATTTATAAAAGAAATGCACTGTCTGTGAAGTGCAATATGGTGAAGCACAGAAAAACACAACACAACAAAAATAGATATGCCTGTAGTTACATGAAAATAACCAATCTCATATAAGGCCTGGTAACCTACGGCTTCATGTCTGGGTTTTCTGTGGTGCTGTGCCTTTGTCCCACGTCAAATGTGGTGAAGTGGGCACCATTTTCAGGAATCTGCTTTCAGGAAAATGAGCTAGTAAGCCTTGCTTTCTTACAAAAGAACAGATCAGGTAGGCAAGAATAACAAAACTGTATTGACTTACTGGTGCTGGGCCTGTACATTGGCTCTTGGACTGAACATCTGTTTTATGTGGGGGGGCTGTATCGTTTTAGAGCTGTCCACCATCGGGAGTAGATACTGCAGCATCTCCTGAGTTTGGGCTAGTCTTTTATCCCTGTAGATTCTCTTCTCATCATCGGTCCAGTTGACGTCCGCCTTCTTGCTTTGGAAAGACGGAAATCTTCTCAGTTTGCTCTTTAAGTTGTGCTGCAGCTCTGAGAAAACAACCACACCAATATGTCTGGTTAACTGACCCATACGCAGTCAACCATTATTTAGTGAGCACTACTACGTCCCGAGGATTTCATCTAAAACTCCTTGGCCATCTGAAGCTTATAGGTTAATGATGGAAAACAACATAAACAAACAATTAAAATACACAGTGTGTCAGATGATGACATAGGCAGCCAATAAAGCTGCCGTTTCCCCTCGGAGCTCTCTGCCTCACAGGTTCCCCACTGAGCTGCTGAGGGACACAGTAAGTCACTCTCCTGAGACAAGCTTCTCTGCCCTCCTGTCATTCTGATAGCTCTCCAGCCACTCGTCTGTGGAAGGTCTCCTGCTGTAAGAAACTGCCTTCCCAACCCAACTGTCACTGCATTGGCCCCAGTGAATAGCTCGTGGGGCGACATTGCCACCTCGTGGTCCTCTCTTCCCCCATCATCAAACTCTTGATGCGCTAGAGAGTCTATCATTCTGTGGCTCTTCTCAATGACCCAGCCTTTGCTGTGGTTCATCTTTTCAGTTTTTTGCCTTTTTCTTTTCCCTTTCCTTGTTGATTCATGCTATCTTTATTATTCCCTTCCTTCCTTCTTACTTGGGTCAACTTGGCTCTTCCTTGTCTAGCTTCTTGAACTGGAACCTTGACACCTTCTATCTTTCCTAATGCAAACATTTACAGCTATATGTTCACCACTTAAAACTGTACAGTAGCCCACAAATTTTGAATTTTCATTTTGAAGTATTTTCTTCTTCACTTTGTTGTTTGTTTGTTTTTTAAAACCCATAGTTTATTGAGAAGTACATTGATTTACAAATATTTGATATTTTCCTAGATATCTCATTGTTACTGATCTTTAATTTAATCTTGTTATGGTCAGAGATCATATTGTTTATAATGTCTAGTCTTTTAAATTCACTGAGACTTGTTTTATGGCGCTGAATGTGATCTATTTTGGCGAACATACAAACATACCTGATAACAGTGTGTACTATGAATTTGCCAATCGTAACATTCTATAAACAGCAATTAGGTGATTGATAGTGTTCTTCAGCTTTTCTAGTTCTATAAATTGTTAAGAGAGGGGTGCTGAAATCTCCTACATTTGTGTAACTGTCTATCTCTTTAATTCTGTAAGATTTTGCTTCATATATTTTGAGGCTTAATAATTAGGTGAAATTCATCTGTCAGTTTGTCATATTGTGGTGACTTGCATGTTCCTATGATGCTGGAAGCTATGCAACTGTATTTCAAATACCACTTGGGTCACCCATGGTGACAGCTTAAGAAAGGCCTGGCAACCTGCTTCCAACACTCAGCCAACAAAAAGCCTCATGAGTAGTAACTGGACATTGATATAGTATCGGAAATGAGAATCTCAGGTTGGAAGGTGCTCCAAATATAATTGGGGATGAACTGCCTCCTCAAAGTAAAGTCACCCTTAATAATACAGAGCGAGTAAAACATTCAGGACCTTCATGTACAGATACGGCATGACTCAAAATGAGAAGCAACATCTGCAAATGTCCATTAATCATTGGAAGATGGAATGCACAAAATAGGAGTCAAAGAAAACTGGAAGTTGTAAAAAATGCAAGTGAGTGATTAAAAATCAATACACTGTGGACTGTGATCCAGTGAGCTGAAATGGACTCTGGTACTGGCCATTTTGAATCTGACATCATATACTATGCTGGGAATGACAAATTGAAGAGGAATAGCATTGTATTCATTGTCAAAAAGAACATTTTAAAATCTATCCTAAAATATAATGCTGTCAATGATAAGTTAATATCCATACATTTATAAGGAAGACCAGTTAATATGACAATTATTCAAATTTATGCACCAACTTCATGCCAAAGATGAAGAAATTGAAAATTTTTATGCACTGTTGCAGTTTGAAATTGATCAAATGTGCAATCAAGATGCACTGATAAGTGTTAGTGCTTGGCACATGAAAGCTGAAAATGAAGAAGGACCAGCAGTTTGAAAATACGGCACTGGGAATAGGAATGATGCTGGAGGTCACATGATGGAACTCTGCAAGACCAATTACATGCTCATCAGAAATACTTTTTCTTTCAACAACACGAACAATGACTATGCATGTGGACCTTGCCAGAGGAATTATAAAGGAATCAAGCTGACATCATCTGTGGAAAGAGATGATGGAGCAGGTCAGTATTACCAATCCAGACAAAGCTGGGGGCAGACTGCAAAACGGATCATCAAGTGCTTATGTGCAAGGTCAACTGAGGCTGAAGAAAATCAAAGCAAGTCCGCATGAGCCAAAGCACAACCTTGAATGCACTTTGCCTTAATTTAAAAACTATCTCAAAAATAGATGTGATGAACTGAGCACTAACGACTAAAGATCAGGAGATTTGAAGTAAAAGTGCTGAATGGAAGATTTTAAAGGATGACTTGAGAAGACAAGGTGAAGTATTATAGTGAAATATGCAAAGACCTAGACTTAGAAAACCAAAAGGGAAAAAAAAACATGATTGGCATTTCTCAAGCTGACAGAACTAAAGAGAAATTTCAAACCTTTGAATCACAATAGTGAAGGATCCTATGGGCAAAAAATTGAATGACACAGGGATTATCAAAAGAAGATGAAAGAAAATCAGTCACTGTACCAAAAAGAACTGGTCGACATTCAACCACTTCAGGAAGTAGTGTATGACCAAAACTCACTGATCATGAAGGAAGAAGTTCGAGCCACACTGGAGGCATTGGCAAAAACGAAGGCTCCAGGAACTGATGGAATGCTCATTCAAATATTTCAACAAATGGATGTAATGCTGGAAGTGCTCACTCATCTATGTCAAGAACTTTAGAAGACAGCTATTTGGCCAATTGACTGGAAGAGGTCCATATTTGTGCATATCCCAAAGAAAGACAACCAAATGGAATATGAAAATTATCGAATAAATATCATTAATAACTTAGGCTGGCAAAATTTTGCTTAAGATAATTCAGAATGGCTGCAGTAGTACATTGACAAGGGACTGCCATAAGGTTGAGCCAGATTCAGAAGAAAGCTGGAAGAAAGGGCATCACTGCAGATACCACATGCATCTTGGCTGAAAACAAAATGCCAAAAAGACGTTTATCTGTGCTTCACTGACAACACAAAGGCATTCAACTACATGGATGGTAACAACTCGTGGATAACACTATGAAGAATGGGAATGCAACAACACTTAATTGTACTCATGCAGAACTTGCACATAGATCAAGAGGCAGTTGTTTGAACAGAGGAAGGTTTAAAATTGGGAAAGGTGTGTGGCAGGGTTGTATCCTATCACATTATTTATTTAGTCTGTATGCTGAGCAAATAATCTGAGAAGCTGGACTATATGAAGAAGAATGTAGCATCAGGATTGGAGGAAGAATCATTAACAAACTTTGATATACAGGTGACACAACCTTGCTTGCTGTAAGTGAAAAGGACTTAAAGCACTTACTGATACAGATAAAGGATTACCGCCTTCAGTATGGATTGCACCAGAATGTGAAGACAATGAAAATCTTCACAACTGGGCCCATAAGTAACACCATGAAAACAGGTGAAGAAAGTGAATTTGTCAAGGATTTCATTCACTTGGATCTACAATCAATGCTCATGGAAGCAGAAATCATGAAATCAAATGATGTATTGCACTGGGAAAATCTGCTGCAAAAGACCTCTTTAATATTTTAAAAAGCCAAGATGTCACTCTGATGACTAAGGTATTTTTGACCCAAGCTGTGGTATTTTCAATGGCCTCATATGCATGTGAAAGCTGGATGTGATGGTAAAGGCTGTGTGTCAATTTGGCTGGGCCATGATTCTCAATGGTTTGGCCTTAGAATGTAGTTATCCAACCCCCACCACCACCCCGAGATCTGATATAATGCAATTACCTCTGTGATGAGATCTGCTATGAGCAGCCAATCAGCTGAAAGGGAGTTTCCTTGAGGATCTGGCCTGCATCCGACATATTCTGACCTTATGGCAAGGTTCTCTGAAGCTGGCTCGTCCTAACCTGACCTCCTATTCTGTGGACTCAAGCCTGCGGCCTCTCCTATTACCTGCCAATCTTGGATTCATCAGCCTCAGCAGCCAGTAGCCTGCTGTGTGACCTGCTGATCTTGGGTCCATCAGCCCCTGTGGCTATGAGTTAGGACATGCCTCTAGCCTGTCTGACCCATGCACTTGGTTCTTGCCAGCCTCTACAAACACATGAGCCATTTCCTTGAGATAAATCTCTCTCTATATATATATATGAGCTTCACTGGTTTTCCTTCTCTAGAGAACTCAGCCTAAGACACTGGACAAGGAAAAAGGCAGACCAAGGAAGAACGGATGCATTCAAATTGTGGTCTTGGAAAAGAATATTGAATATAGCAGGGACTGCCAGAAGAATGAATAGATCAGTCTTGAAGGAAGAGTACAGCCAGACTGCTCCTTAGAAGCAAAGATAGCATGACTTCATCTCATTTACTTTGGACACATCATCAGGAAGAGCCAATCCCTGAGGAAAGACATCAGGCTTGATAAAGTGGAGGGGCAACGAATAAGAGGGATACCCTCAATGAAACAGACCGACACAGTGGCTACAGCAATGGGCTCCAACAGCAATGACTTTAGTTTTCCCTTGGGGTGGTGGTGAGGACAAACAGTGAGAACAGGGAGATATCAGGAGAACGGCAGTCAAGTAGTGTTCTCAAGGCTGTATTACACTGGAATACTTTTCTTCTATATTTAACCCAGTCTCTTTCTCTTTTACTCTCACTGCCGTGCAGTCAGATCTGACTCATAGTGACCCCTCCTTGGGTTTCCAAGGTGGTATCACTATGGAAGTAGATTGCCCAGTCTTCTTTTCAAGCAGTGACTGGTGGGTTTGAACCACCAGCCTTCTGGTTAGTAGTCAAATGCCTTAGGTATGACGCCACCACATAGAGATTAAATAAAGCATATTTCAGAGTCAGAAACAAAATGGCAATCAATCCCCTCTGTTTATAAAAGCAGTTTTAGGATGATTTATTAAAATCCCAAACAATAAATGATACCATATTGTTCTCTCTTGGTACTTATTGTAATTCTATTTAAAAATGAAAGAAAAACCTGTTTGTATCCGTGTCTTATCAGTCCAGCTGGGTGTCTGACTGCTTGCAGGACACTTCAAGGATGTTACTTTGCAACAGGTCCCATACAAATCCACTGTCTTGGACTCAGTTATTTCCTGGCTTGGTTTCTCATCAGTTTCTAGAACAAATCTTTGTTGGCCTTTGCCAAGACTCTGAATCAGACTTTTGGAGCTGAAAGAAATCGGGGGTCTCGTTTGAATGCTGACAGTGAACTGCCTATGTGCTTCCTAGCATGCAAAGGATTCTCACATGTATTGTCTTCCTTGGGGCTCTTACCTGTCATGTGATGAAGGCAGGATGGCTGATGTTATCCCCATGGAACATACGGGGAATCAGAGAGGTTAAGCTATGTGCTCACAATCACATAGCTGAAGGGAGGCACAACAGGTCTAGAATTTACACATTCTAACTCCAGAATTTTGTTCTCTTACCTTCTCTTGCCTTAGTGTATCATTTGGTTTGTTTCTATAGGATATGATAAATAATACATGGTGAAATATAAGTCTTATTTAAATTGATTCTGGATCCCAGTATATGTATGCCCAAAGATGTCTCCCCTATTGGTCTCTTGCCTAATTTTCTAGGTTTCTGGGGCAGGAGAGTTTACATCTTCCATCAGAACCCATTTTAACAAAAGCTAAGTTTTAAGAGGAGAAGCTAAGGAAGGAACAAAGTATGTCCCATGTTTCTTCTGTGGTGTAGATGTAGTCAATTTCCTAGTACTTAAACTGCGGCATTGAAAACGAGGAAAACTCTCAACGACATGGACTGACACCATAGTGTCAACACTGGGCTCCAACATTTCACCTTCATGGAGAGGGTGCAGGGCTGAGCAACTTGTGGTTCTCTGCTACTGAAGGCTGCCAAGAGTCAGAGCTGACTGGGCGCCAACCAACAACAGTGGCCTACCGCACTGTCAGGATGGCCGTCCATATCCTCATTCCTGAGCACAGGGAAACATGCCAAGGGGGGCAGGCGTATAATCACTGCTGATTCAGACAAAACTACAAAGCTGAATTTTAATATCCCCAGACTTTCACTTCCAGTTTTAGGTACGAGTTCTATCCTCATATGACCAACGTTCCCATTGCTACCACAGACAGTAAAACATCTTTAGCAAACATTGATGTGCAGGTGACACAACCTTGCTTGCTGAAAGTGAAGAGGTCTTGAAGCACTCACTGACGAAGGTAAAAGACTATAGCCTTCTGTGTGGGTTACTCTAGAATGTGAAGAAAACGGAAACTTTCACAACTGGGCTCATAAACAACATCACGATAACCAGAGTATTCCTTTAAAAACAAAACTCAGCTAACACAATGAGGAACACACAGCAACACATTTCCAACTACAGATTTGAAGACGTCTGTTGGGGCTTTTCAGGGGCTCACCAATCTCAGAACCCTTCAAAATTTCTCATGAGTGCTCCTTTCTTTAAAACTGATCTCATTACAGACACTATATAGTATAAACGGAGACATCAGATTAGCAATTGTTATCAAAAAGTTATTTTTAACTGTCAATTTAATTCAAAATAAAAATCTTACAGGTGGAGAAAAAGGAGTGAAGTAGTTAAACAGAAGAAATCAAACTACAGGTTTCCTACCTCAAATATTTTTTTAGGATCCAAGGAGGGATGGATCTAGGTATTGTCACTGAAAAGGAGAAAATACCATAAAATTTCTGAGTTTAGGTATTAAAATCAACAAAACTTTTTTTTTTTAAACTTTGACAATTATTCCATTCATATACTTAATGAGTGAAATGGTAACTCTTTGTTTAACATTTTGATACCAGCCATCCTAGTCGGTGCAAAGGGCTATCTCCTTGTGGTTTTGATTTGCTTTCCCCAAGGACTAATGATGTTGAGCATATCGTCATGTGTTGTTGGCCATCATATATCTTTGGAGAAATGTCTATTGAAATCTAATTTTTAGGTTATTATTTTTTTAATTATTGGGTATAAAGCGTTTTTTTTTTTATATATTCTAAATACAAGTCCCTAATCAGATATCTATTGAAAATGTTTTTCCTATTCTGTGGGTTGCATTTTCACTGTTTTGACAGTATCATTTGAAGCACAAGCAGTTTCAATTTGATGAAGTGCAATTTACCTATTTTCCCTTTTGCCACTTACTCTAAGAAACCATTGATTAACTCAAAATCATGGAGATTTACTCCTATGCTTTCTAAAATAAGCCATTATATTTACTATTACTTTAAACAGTTGTCTTTCAGATCAATTAAGAGTAAGAAAAATGAAATATATTATTTTAGTTCACTAATGCCAGCCTCATTTTCTTGATGTGGATCTGAGTTTCTGAGCTATATTATTTTCCTTCTCTCTAAAGAACTCCCTCTAACTTTTTTTTGTAAGGTAGGTCCAAGCCAAAAACCCACTGCTGTTGAATTGATTCTGACTCATCACAACCCACAGGACAGCACAGAACTGCCTCTGGGGTTTCCAAGGCTATAATCTTTATGGAAGCAGACTGACACATTTTTCTCCCATGGAGTGGCTGGTTGGTTCGAACACGCACCATTTGATTAACAGCCAAGTGCTTAATCATTGCACAGCCAGAGCTCCTTTAAGTAGGTCTACTAGTAACAAATTCTCTCCATTTTTGTTTGTCTGAGAAAGTCTTTCTTTTTACTTCACTTTTGATGGATAATTTTGGTGGAGAACACAGAACTCTAGGTTGATGGTTTTTATCTTTCAGCAGTTTAAAAATTACAGTTCATTCTCTTCTTGCATGCACGGCTTCTGGGGAGAACTTTGCTATAATTTTCCTTTGTAAGTAAGGCTTCAGTGGCTCACTGGACAGGAGGGATGAAAGTGAGAGGGAGACAAAAAGCGTAACTCCGACTTTTCCTGCTCATACGTAGACAGTACTGCCAGTAGTGTTTCAGCAAATACAGGAAAACAAGGATTTGCATGGAATGTGACAAATTTGAGTTTGAATATGTAGGACATCTATACGGAGGTGTACAACAGGCAGTTAAATACAAGAGCCTGAAGCTTGGACAAGAGATCAGGCCTGGAGATACACATTTGGGAGTCATTTAGAGAGCGGTTCAAACAGTGAGACTCGGTGGGATCTGGAGGAGAGCGTATAGAGTGAGAGTAGAAAACCAGACACAGAAGATAGAACAATATTCATGGGTTAGAAAAAGGAGGAAGTACCTACAAAGGAGACCAAGGAGTGATGATTCTATTTATACACACACACAGATAGAGTGCATCATATTTTGCACATACAAAGGGTACATATATGGGTTTCACAAATCCCCTCTCAGGTTACCTTCCTATGCATGCTATGTGCATTATGTATGTGTGCATTATTTCTATAGGTATATTACATGTGAAAAATATGGTATATGTATCTATACATACACATATCCAAACTCTATATATCTATATATATGGAATGAGATTACAGAAGTCCTGCTTGCCAAATACATAGATGACAAGATGCTTGAAGGTCCAAGTATGACCTAATCAAGAACTCAGGAAAGGCTGAATCTAAGGAGATCAAATGTACAGGAAGTTTACTGCCAGCATATTGAGCCCCGATACCAACTGTAGCAGTAAAGAATGGAGGGGACACAACTTGGCAGCAGGACCACAGATGCCAAGCTTGAGCTTGTGTAAATTCAACATGTCCGTAGCATAGGGTAATTTTCATAAGAAGCAATGCAATGCAACCTGAGGTTGATGGGAATCTAGTATGTAGGAATGGGAGTGATGATTTACTGAGCACTCCTTAGATGACATTTGCACTACTGTGTTCAGCTTCATCCAAGCTCAAGAGCCACACAGAAGAAAAGAAAAGAAGATGGTACGTGGGCTTGAATCATGTCATATTAGGAATGGTTGAAACAAATAGAAAGAAAATTTCAGGGAAATAAGTGATAGGATTTTTTAAGAATATATTTAAGACTAATCATATGGAAGAGGTATTCCAAGGTTCTCATTATGTCAGGGAGAACCAGGGGAAATGAGCCCGTCCGAGTCCTTCTCCTCAGGGTCCTGCGTCTCTTTCCTTTGTGTCACTAGAGGTGGCACATTCAGGCAGGGGGTGATTTACAAGGACACATGTTTCTAAGTCAGTATGAAAAGAATTGTCAGTGCTTGACTCTGTAGCAGTGGAATGAACTACACTGTAATTTAATAAGTTGTCATTTAAGGAGCCATGGTGGCACAATGGCTAAAGTGCTTAGCTGCTGACCTAAACATCTGCAGTTTGAACCCAGCAGCCACTGTGCAAGAGAAAAGGCCTGGTGAAGTGCTTTCATAAAGGTTTCAGCCTAGGAAACCCTACGGGGCAGTTCCACTCTGTCCTACAGGGTCGCTGTGAGTTGGGATCCACTCCATGGGACACAACAGAAACTTGTCAACAAATATAGTTGATCCAAAGCTGACTGAGCACGGATCCTGTACTGAGTATGGACCCGTACTAAGTAGGAGGTGAGAAGAGAGTATGTTCAAGATTCCTTTCTGCTTAAGATTCAATGTGATGGGAGTGCAAAGGGGAGACAATGAGATGAGTATTTTTATCTAGCCTGGGTAAAACTGCAAGGAAGCAAATTGACATACAATATATTTCTATGGGTCTCCCCTACGGTTTTAGAGTTAAAGAGGAAAATAAAAATTTGAGTTTCAAAATTGCCAGGAAGATGACCAGTTCCTTGGCCATGATTTGAAGATAATCTCTGAGTTCCTTCTCTGCATATTTCTATCAGGTGCGTATATGACAGCTCATGTTCAGATGCTGGGTGGCCTCTCACCATGTCTGTATTCGTATTTCACTCACCCAAACCTTGATGAGGGAACTGTCTTCTGAAATACTCATCGATATACTCTTCCGATACATTTGCCCTTGTATCTAGAGAAGATGGCAAAAGATCATTAGTAGCGTGAAAATAGCTCATTGACTACTAATTTCAAATCTTGTCATGTTTTTTAAAGTGAACAATGCTATCAAAAAAAGCACAAAGAGTTGTTGAGCTCCATGGACTTAATATAAACAGTCCCCAAATCTTCTGCATTTCTGTTGTGTTTTTGTAATTCATAGCAGAAATCTTAGAAATGTACTTACCCTTGGGGGCAGAATTCTCTTTATTTATTCTAAAGAGACAATTAAGAACATGCACAAAAGGAGAGGTATGAGGTTCTTCATTATCGTTGACAATAGAAAAAACTGGTGGCAAAATAAAGGCTTAATAACAGGGGATGTTTAAACAGACTGAGGTTCAGTAACAATGGAATGCCTTGCTATCCCTTATTAACACGCGAAGAGATTTACGATATACTGTAATTTTCAGTAAAAAAGTTGATCACAAAAGAACAAGGAGATTGTGATTAACTCATACAACACGGAGGATAAATGCACAGATGCAGAAAAGGAACTTACTTAGTTTATCTAAGTTTCTGTACTAAACGTTTGGCAAAAGAATACATAAAAGTTACACATAGAACCGGTGACTGCTTGCCTTATCACTATCAGAAAGAACAGATTATTTAAAAACCATGAAACCGTCACTATGGCATCTCCTCTGATTCACAGCGACCCAGGGGGACAGAGAAGAACTGCCCCGCAGTGCTTCTGAGGCTGTGGATCTTTACAGAAGAGGCTGCCACATCTTTCTCTGATGGAACGGCTGGTGGGTTTAAACCACTGACCTTTTGGTTAACGGCCAAGCCCTTAACCACTATACCACCAGGGCCCCCTAGTTCATTTAAAATTCAAGTGAATTAAGCTTCTTACCTTAGTTATAAGAGTCTTCCATTTTTCTTGGTGTGGTTCTTATCTCATTTTCTACTTTCAACTTAGAAAAATAGATATATGTACATGTATACATATTCCTGGAGCCCTGGTGGTGCAATGTTTAAAGTACTTGGCTGCTAACCAAAAGATTGGAAGTTTAAACCTACCAGCTGATCCGCGGGAAAAAGATGTGGCAATCTGTTTCCATAAAGATTACAATCCTGAAACGCTGTAGGGCGGTGGTTCCATGCTGTCCTATGGGGTCACTGTGAGTCAGAACCGACTCAATGGCAGTGGGTTCTTTTTTATTTTTTTAAATATGTATTCTTAAATAAATACTTTTTGGAAGTAGGTGGAGTATAAATGTGTAATACGTTACTCCATATACACACAAAACTGAAGAATTATTTTGGACAAAAATAAAACCTTGCCTAAACTGTATTAATTCTTCCAAAGGATGGTGACTGGAGACAGTGTGACAGAAATGAAGAAAACGACACAGGTTTCAGAAGCGAGTGCACAGTCCAAAGTTTACCTTCTCTCCTGGACTCACCCTCTACTGAGTTGTGAACAAGAGGAGCATGATAGTTTTCAAAACATCAAACTCTTATACTCTCTTTGGGGGAAAGGCTTTCTGATCACACCATCCCCCAAACACCGGGCCACCCCAACCGTCCTGTGTGTGGGGCCACTCCTTCCTTTGTGGCTCGTTGTACAGACTCTGCCTTTGCACCTGCAACACACACTGTGCTTGCCGACTTGCTGTTCTCCCCACCTAACAGGTGAGCAGAAATGGTATCCCATAGTCTTAGGGCCCCTGGCTCCAAGCACAGTGGCAACCTCACATCTGTGGCACAAAAAAGGTTTGTTGAGTAAACAAATTAATTGTTCATGAGACCCTGGAGGCAGAAACTCACCTTTCAAGTCAGTATTTGGCTCATTGTATCTTTGCTGTGAATGTCCTCTAACACAGACCTAGTGGAGCAGAGAGGGAGGAGAAAGCAGCGACAGGTTGGACACGGAGAGCCTTTCCTAGATGACTCAGGGTATAGCAGGTTTTCAGCCAACTCAGTATCGCTTTGTCCTCATTGATTTCGAATGGCCCCAAACAGCTTTTCAATCAGAACCTTCTAATGTCTCAACACAACTTTTCTCCTGCAATACTGAGTTGATACTGATAATCTGTCAGTAAAGAAAGTTTGAGAATTTTTCCACTTCAGCCAGAACTTATTCACAGGAGACCAAAAAAAAAGTATACATACTTACAATCTTACTTAAGTCACAAGAATGGGGATGTAAGAGTGAAACAGGTGGAAGTATGTACCACTGTATGAAAACAGACAAGCAGATTATAGAACTGGGTGTATGTAAAAATGATAAAAATACTTTCTTGAAGCTTGTAAAGAAGAGTAGAGTGGGAAAAGTGTACACATATGGCTTGTGTTGCTTTCTGTCTGGAAAAGGGCTGCCAACATGACCCAGTTGGACTAATCGACCCAGCATCGGAGCACTGTGATCACTCATCTTGGACAGTCTACACATTGCTACGTGACTGTGAGAGTTCTCCAAAGGCTTCCAAACTTTTGTTTCTACATCTTTAGCATATAGATATTACACAGAACTTTCCCAAAGGGGCAGAGAGCAAAAAATAATTGAAAACATATTTGCCAACAAGTAATGCGTTTTAATTCATAATAAAATAGAGTGAAAGCTTAAAATCTCTTTCTTTGTAGATATTATAATTGATTGGCAGCAAAAATAAATGGAGGTAATCTATGAAAATAAGAAATCGTAAAGATCAAAACAAAATAAGTGAAAGAGAAAGGGAAATATTCTTGATAAATTATATACAGCTAAATTTAGCAGTATAACATAACCACTAGAATTTGGAGAAGGGCAGAGAAAATCCACTGGTAATTAGGCTTGATCTGAAGAATCCTTGGTGTCACTGGTAGCCCTCTTCTGGGCCTACTGATGCTCTCTCAGAGAAAAACGTCGCCAGGCCAGTGTGCTGATGAACGGGCCCCGGAAATTCTACACTGATCTCTGGTTGTGTTCCTGTGTGACCCTCCTTCGTAAATATCTAAGTTTCACCACATTGGCTGATGGGAAAATGGTCAAAAGTAGAAAAACAATTTCCCTAAGATGTGTACTTGGTCTCAGTAGTTTTGGTGAAGAATTGAAAAGCACCAAAATAGATCATTAAAAAAAAAAAAAAAAAGCAAAGAAATAAAAACACGTAATTTAGTGGGAGCTAGTTGATCCCTTTAGGAGCCCTCGTGGTGCAGTGGTTGAGCACTTGGCTGAGCCAAAAGGTCGGCGGTTGGAATCCACAGCCGCTCTGAGGGAGAAAGACGTGGCATAGTCGGCGTCTGTACGCACCGCGGCCCCGGAAGCTCGAGTGGCAGCTGTACCCTGTAGTACAAGGTCATCATGAGGCAGAAGTGACTCAACAGCAACGAGTTTGGGTTTTGGTTTTTGGAGTTGATTCTGAAAGGCCGTGAGACTATTAAGAAGAACAGCACAGGGCTCTACAAAATGACACTGTGAGGCACAAATATTTGATAAAATGTGAATTTCAAGTTCCTTCTGCAAAGGCTGAAAAATTTTTTGTGCTCAGATCAAAATATCATTTAACTCAGTTAAAATAATATGGAGTAGGTGAGCAGACCCACGGAAGATACACAGATGGCAAAGAAGCACATGAGAAGATGTTCAACATGCTTAACCATTTGATGTTGTTGTTGTGTGCCGTCGAGTCGGACCCGACTCACAGCGACCCCTCCTTGGGTTTCCAAGGCAGTATGGAAGTAGATTGCCCCATCTTCCTTCCAAGGAGTGGCTGGTGGATTTGAACCGCCAGCCTTCTGGTGAGCCATTAGGGAACTGCAAATTCAACGACCATGAGATATCACAACGCCCACCAGAATGGCTAAAGCAAATATAAAAAAAATACTGATAACAACAAGTGCCGTTGAAGATGAGGAGAAGGTGGAGCACCATACATTGCTATGGAAATAGGATACACCCAGCTTTTAAGTTCCACCGATTGATCTGTTGTCTTCATCAATGCCCTGGACATCAATTGCTGTACAAACTAATCCAATCAGATTAATTCTCATTTGAAGGGATGGTTCCAGAGGCTAATGCTTCCAGTCATTCTGACAGCAGCGGGCTCCCTCCCCAGCGGGCTCCCTCCCTTTTGTCTGGCAAACTAACTGGCTTCCAGTTAACCCTGTATCTTCAGTGGTTCTCCCACTCTTCTGCCAATTGCTTCTCATCACAGTGGCCACTGTTTTTGAGAGCACCTTTGGGTTCAAACTCTCTTGGGAAGAGATCAGCAACTATCTGGTTAACAGCCTATTTCCTCCTCATCCTAAGGCAAAACCTCTGAGCCAGGCCTCTGGAACTGGGGGTGGAGAAATGAGGCTTTTCTCTCTGAATGACATGCCATTTGAGGAGCTGAGCTCAAGGTTCCTTTGCAGTTTTAAAAATAGTAAACAAGATGAGCAAAATTTTAATCATTAACTCCTTCTGGGGAAAAAATGGGGCAGAGATGGTAAGAGGAAGTAACTTGCCATCCATGGCATGTTTTTTTCAGTATTATGAAAAACAACCAGTAAGATTTACCTCTTGTTCTTCTCTGGCACTTTTAAGACTTGTTATAGCAGAATTCCTTTCCTTCTTTGTTTTCAGATATCTCTTGGTTTTCAGCTAGATAAAAGAACCAGATATAAAATCACTATGTAATCAAAACAGCAAAAATATGGACATAAAACTACCTTGGGAATTCTACTTCTAAGAACAGAATTTAATTCTCCTGGAATTCAGATTTCTGGGCTCTGTGGAGGTTGGGACGACCTTCCCAAGCCATCGCCCTGAGACGATTTGGCCTTGAGGAAACTAGGTTCCTAAACATTACCTTAAAGTCAACAGTGGTCTAGACCATTTGGCCGTGGACAGTGGGCTCTTTTGAAGAATTCTCTACGGGTGCTTAGTCTCAGGGAACAAACTCCAGGGTCAGACCAGAAACTGTGTGTTAGGATAAATTATTATGGAAACACTGTTCTAGTCTTGTTTCCATGACAATGTCAATAAGACATTCCATCATCAAACATGAAAAATTTTGGAGGTTCTTTCATCTTTGGAACATTTTTGACTCTCTAGTGGAAAGCAGCCAAGACATCAAAAGATGTATTGCATTGGGCAAATCTGCGGCAAAAAACATTTTTCAAGTGCTGAAGAGCATAGATATCTCCTTGAAGACTAAGATGCACCCAACCCAAGCCAAGGTATTTTTTTTTTTTTTAAATTGTGATTTGGGTGAAAATTTACAGAGCAAATTCACTTTCCATACAGCAGTTCACATACACTTTGTCTCATGACATTGACTACAATTTACCACAATGCAACAGCTCCCCTCCCACTTCCTCCTGACAGTCACCTCTTCCCTGTGTCCATCCCTCCATGCACCCCTGCCCCCTGAGCTGTCTCCCTGTGCATAAACAGCCCTTCTTTTTCCCATGATTGTTCTCTCCAAGGAGTGTATATTCAACTTATATGCCTGTGTTTTGTTTGGCTGGAAGCCACAGGCACGGGTTCCATTCCAGACCTGAAGGGCAGCTAGGGGCCATAGTCTCAGTGGTTCCACTAGGCTCTATCAGACCAGCAAACCTGGTCTCCCCTTCTTCTTCTTTTTTTTTTCCAAATGATTTTGAGTTTTGTTCCACATTGTTCTCCCTCTTTATCGAGGATCTCCTACATAGATCCCACTCGGAGTGGTTGACAGTGGTAGCCGGGCACCATCTAGTTCTTCTGGTCTCATAGGCATACAGGCTGCTGCAGATCACATGCTGTACCAGTCGCTAGGACTAATTTTTTCCATGAATCTTTGGTTTTCTTCATTCTTCTTTTCTCTGGATGAGGAAAGACCCATCGTTGCATCTAGATGGCTACTTGCAAGCTTTTAAGATCCCAGTTGCTACTTGCCAAATAGGAGGTGGAATAATGTTTTGTGTAGTATGTTATGCTAATTGAGCTTGATGTCCCCTGTGACAATGGTCCCGAGCCCATAGGTTCAACTACTCAGTCCATTTGGGTAGCTGGCTCTGACCAAGAAGTGACTACAATTTTGTCCCCAAACCAAGGTATTTTCATTGGCCTCCTATGAATGTGAGAGCTGGACAATGAATAAGGAAGACCGAAGAAGAGTTGATACTTCTGAGTTGTGGTGTTGGCAAAGAATGCTTAGAGTACCACGGACTGCTAAAAGAACTAACAAATCTGTCCTGAAAGAAGTGTGGCTGGAATGCTCCTTGGAAGCTAGAATGGCCAGACTTTGTCTCACTTACTTTGGTCATGTTGTCAGAAGGGACCATTCTCTGGAGAAGGGTGTCATGGTTGGTAAAGTGGAAGGTCAACAAAAAAGGAGAAGGCCCTCAACAAGATGGATTGACATGGTGGCTGCAGAGATGGGCTCAGGTGTAGTAGGGATTGTGAGGCTGGCATAGGACTGGGCAGTGGTTCATTCTGTTGTATATAAGGTTGCTGTGATTCGGAGATGACTCAACAGCACATAACAACAGCAACAGTGTTATCCTGATTTGCAATTGTATATTAAATAAATTTCACCTCCCATTATTGGTTTATTATGATTTTGGTTTTAACAGAAGATAGAATAATTTCCCCTATTCCTCCCTCTAAATGCAACTAAAACTCCTGGGCATTATATATAAAATAAGTAGAGGACGTTGAAAGGTGGAGAGAAGGCAGGCAGGCAGACTAGAGACTTTAGGGTTGGAGGAGTGACAGTGATGAGGTCCCTCATATGGCCCAGATTTACAGCAAGAGAAGCTGGCAACCCATAAATGCCACAAAAAATAACACTCCAGCAAAAGCCTCTCTTCTCTGTCCAAAGGATCAAAAAGGGAGAAGCTTAGATGGAACACTTTTAGATAATGATTGATTTATTCCAAGTAAACACCACCAAAAACTGTGCAATCCCCCCCCCCCCCCCCGCCCCAACTACCACCACCAATGCCAAGCAAGGCTGAAAGGGGAGCTGTATTAGTTTCCTAGGGCGGCTGTAACAAATTACCACAAACTGGATAAAACAAAATACATCTGTTCTCTCCACTTCTGGAGGCAAGAAGTCTGAAATCAAGGCATTGGCAGGGTCGTGGCCCTCAGGAGGCTCTAAGGAACGTTCCTTCTGTTCTTTTTAGCTTCTGGTGGCTGCCGGCAGTCCTTGGTGTACCTTGGCTCGTAACTGCATCACTCCAGTCTCTGTCTCCATCGTCATACGGGCTTCTTCCCTGTGCATGTGTCTCTTCTGTGTGTCTCTGTGTCTTATAAGGACAGTAGTCATTGGATTTAGGGCCCACTCATTACATCTGCAAAGACCTTATTTCCAAGCAAAGTCAAATAAGGGTATGGCAGTCTCTTTAATGATGTCTAATGATCCCTACCTCCTGGTACTCATACCCTGTGTAATCCTCACCCCTTGAGTGTGGGCTGAACTTAGTGACTCACTTCTAATGAACAGAATACGGCAAAATGACAGGATGTTGCTTCTGAGATGAGGTTACAAAGACTGCAGCTTCCGTCTTGCGTGCTCTCTTGTTTGCTAGGATGGAATCTAGCTGGGCTCCATCATCACATGGAAGTGAGGAAGGCCTCTCAGCCAGTGAGAAACCAAAACCCTCCAGCAGCCTGTGAGGAATGAATCCTGTGAACAACCACATGACTGGGGTTGGAAGTGGATGGAAGTGCGGTCAAGCCTGCAGGTGAGACTACAGCCCGGTCAATACCTTCACTGAAGTCTTGAGGGAAAGCGTGAAGTAGAAGCATCCTGTTAAGCAATGCCCCCATATCTTACTCACAGAAACCATGAGGTAATAAATGTTTGTGGTTTTAAGCTGCTACTGCTTGGGGTAATTTGTTAAACAGCAATAAAATACTAATACAATGTTCGTGGTTAAGACCTTGGAAATTATTAAGGTGGCATCTAATAGACCCTAGCAGCTGAACAGGTGTCTCTGTTTGCGTGGATCAACAAAGGAAGATGGACAGTTGGGAACAGGAGGAGAATATGGTATGTGTGGATAACTGCCTCCATGAACAACTGCCTCCTTTGCCAGGAGACCGGAGGAACTGGATAGTGCCGAGCTATCATTCCTCAACATGTGATCAAAGATTCTGCAGAAGAATCCTGATGAAGAGGGTGAAATGCGGAAAAGAATTTCAAATTTTCATGGAATCCAGACTTTCTGGAGCCACTGGGGCTGGACAAACCTCCCAAACTGCTGCTCTCAGATGGTCTTTAAACCTTAGACCAGAAATAATCCCTGCTTCAAAGCAAACGATAGTTCCACTGAACTAGTGAAGAATTCCCGCCTTAAGCACTGTGCTCTTCTAAGAACAATCTATATGGGGTCCAACTGACAAGGAGAACTCGAAAGATCAGACTGGAATCTTACGGGGCCGTGAGTTTATATTAACGGAGAGGAACCACTGGAGAAGGGGGTGAGGATGGTTCCACAACTGGGGAGTGCGTCAGTGCCCCTGAACTGGGCCTGGAGAAACTGGTGAGTTGCTGCATGTCCTGCCGTGTGCATTCTTCACAAGAACAAAATAAAATTCCTCACAGATAAACAAGAAACCCCGGAGCTTTCCAAGTCTATCAGAAAATAACAAATATTGTTAAATTGTTCATTTATGTATTGATACTATGTGAGTAATAATTAACAAAACTGTTACTAAACAAATGAACAATTGTTCTATGTAACTATACAACTGCAAACATTTTTTGCCTGATTGTTAGTCACAGTAAGAGGAGTACCTACTTAGCCTTAGCATAGCTATATACCAATGCCTAAGGCATCTGACTGCTAACCAGGAGGTCGGCAGTTCAAACCCACCAGCCACTCTGTTGAAGGAAGATGAGGCAATCTGCTTCTGTAAAGATTTACAGCCTTGGGAATATAATGAGAGTCTCTATGAGTTGGAACAGACTTGATGGCAGTTTTTTTTTTTTTTTTAAATATACTATTAGGAGTCCTGGTGGCACAGTGGTTAAAGTGCTCATTTCCCAATTGGCTATGTCAGTAGTTTGAACCCACCAGCTGCTCTGAGGGAGAAAGATGTGGGATTCTCCTTCAGGAAAAATGACAGCCTTGGAAACCCAATGGGGCAGTTCTACTCTGTCCTGTAGGGTTGCTATGGGTCAGAATTGACTTGACAGCAGTGTTTTTGATTTTCTGGGTTACAGACCACAAGCAGAAAAGCTCGATCATACCTGAGAAGTTAACTTGAGAGGATAAGTCTGCGAGTCATTGGATTCAGAACTGTCAGAGCCCCGGCTACTACAAAAAATAATCATTTATTTCAGTTGACAGAGTGATTTTGCAGCACTTTCAAATTTCAACTGTTGCTTTTACTGTTTTAAAAATCATATTGGAATTGATAGAAATAGTTCCACTTATGTATGGATCATAACAAATTATGCATAGCATTGAGAAGAATGGGAATTCCAGAACACTTAATTATTCTATGAGGAACCTGTACATAGACCAGAAGGCTGTTGTTCAAATAGAACAAGGGGATACTGCATGGTTTAAAATCAGGAAGGGAGTGTGTCAGGGTTGTAACCTTTCACCATACTTATTCAATCTGAATGCTGAGCAAATAATCTGATAAGCTGGACTATATGAAGAAGAACGTGGCATCAAGATTGGCGGAAGACTCATTAACAACCTGTGATACACAGATGACACAACCTTGCTTGCTGAAAGTGAGGATGACTTGAAGCACTTACTGATGAAGATTAAAGACTACTGTCTGCAGTATAGATTACACCTCAACACAAAGAAAACAAAAATCCTCACAACTGGACCAATAAGCAGCATCATGATAAATGGAGAAAAGACTGAAGTTGTCAAGGATTTTACATTACTTGGTTCCACAATCAACACCAATGGAAGCAGCAGTAAAGATATCAGACATTGTATTGCACTGGGCAAATTTGCTGCAAAAGGCCTCTTTAAAATGCTGAAGAGCAAAGATGTCTCTTTGAAGACTCAAAAACCAAAAACCAAACTCACTGCCGTCCAGTTGGATCCGACTCATAGTGACACTTCCTTGGGTTTCTGAGGTGGTATCACTATGGAAGTTGATTGCCCAATCTTCCCTCTGAGGAGCGGCTGGTGGGTTTGAACCACCAGCCTCTGGTTAGCAGTTAAATGCCTTAGGCACTATGCCAAGACTAAGGTGTGCCAAACACAAGCCATGGTATATTCAATCACTTCATAAGCATGTGAAAGCTGGACAATGAATAAGGAAGACCAAAGAAGAGTTGATGCTTTTGAGTTGTGATATTGGCAAAGAATATTGAGTGAACAAATCTGTCTTGGAAGAAGTACAGCCGGAATGCTCTTTGGAAGTGAGACTGGCCAGATTTCATCTTACCTACTTTGGTCATGTTGTCAGAAGGGACCGTTCCCTGGAGAAGTATATCGTGCTTGGTAAAGTGGAGGGTAGGTGCAAAAGGGAAAGACCCTCAACAAGATGGATTGACACAGTGGCTGTAACAATAGGCACACGTATAGCAAGGATTGCAAGGATGGCACACGACTGGGCAGTGTTTCACTCTGTTGTATATAGAGTCACTATGAGTTAGAACTGACTCAATGGCACCTAACAACAACAACTGTTGCTAATATGAGTCTTAACTTTATAAGATTCCCTGTTTGCAGGGAATCCCACAATAACAATTTTATTTTTCTAACTGCTTTTAATAATAAGATTTTCTGCTTACTTTTCTAAAAAATTCAAAGACTCTGAAACCTTGTAATTCAAAAGGATCTTGTTGTTAGGCTGACTCATAGCGACCCCAGAGACAACAGAATGAAACACTACCCAGTCCTGTGCCAGCCTCACAAACCTTGCTATACCTGAGCCCATCGGTGCAGCCACTGTGTCAGTGCACCTCGCTGAGGGCCTTCCCCCTTTCTGCTGACCCTCCATTTTACCAAGCATGATATCCTTCCCCAGGGAATGGTCCCTCCTGACAACATGACCAAAGTAGGTGAGACGAAGTCTGGATATTCTCGCTTCCAAGGAACATTCCAGCTACACTTCCTCCAGGACAGATTTGTTGGTTCTTCTGTCAGTCCATGGTACTTTAGGTATTCATAACCAACACCACAGTTCAATGGTATCAACTCTTCTTCTCCAGTCTTCCTTATTCATTGTGCAGCTTTCACATGCATAGGAGGCAAGTGAAAACACTATGGCTTGGGTCAGGTGCACCTCAGTCTTCAAAGTGACATCTTTGCTCTTCAGCACTTTAAAGAGGTTTTCTGTAGCAGATCTGCTCAATGCAATATATCATGTGCTTTCCTGACTGTTGTTTCCATGGGTATTGATTGTGGATCCATGTAAAATGAAATCCCTGACAACTTCAGTCTTTTCTCTACTGATTGTGATGTTACTTATTGGTCTAGTTGTGAGGATTTTTGTTTTCTTTACGTTGAGACATAATCCATACTGAAGACTATAACTGTTGATCTTCACCAGTAAGAGCTTCAAGTTGTCTTTACTTTCAGCATGCAAACTGGTGTCTTCTGCATATTACAGGTTGTTAATGAATTTTCTTCTAATCCTGATGCTCTTCTTCATATAGTCGAGCTTCTCAGATTATGTGCTCAGCATACAGACTGAATAAGTATGGTGAAAGAATACAGTCCTGATGCATACCATTCCTGATTTTAAACCATGCACTTGTTCTGTTCAAACAACCACCTCTTGGTCTGTGTACATACAGGTTCCTCATGAGCACAATTTAGTGTTCTGAAATTCCCATTCTTCACAATGTTATCATGATTTGTTATGATCCACACAGTCAAATGTCTTTGCATAGTCAATAAAATACAGGTAAACATCTTTCTGGTATTCTTTGCTTTCCACCAAGATTCATCTGACATCAGCAATGATATCCCTTGTTCCACATCCTCTTCTGAATCCAGCCTGAATTTCTAGGAGTTCCCTATCAATATATTGCTGCAACCATTTTTGAATTATCTTTAGCAAAATTTTACTGGCGTGTGATATTAATGATATTGTTCGATAATTTCTGTACTTTGTTGAATCACCTTTCTTTGGAATGGGCACAAATATGGAATAATAAACCATTCATCTTAAATTTGAGCTAGAAATATCACATGAACTTGTCATTTTTGTTTTCCTCCTAAAAACACGTTTCCTAGCTCAGTTCCCTGAAAAAAGCCTGAAGTGTTAATAACTACCATCCAGAGTATGTTATATAAGTACATTCTTCACTAAAAGGAACCAGTGATTCTTGGAGAAATGTCCATTTTCAAATCTGGTGCATGAAAGGCCTAAGAATAGCCTAGGAAATCTTATCATGAGGGAAAGTTGCCAAAGACCACCAAGGTCATGTCAAAAAGACACAGGAGGCAACTACAAGGGCTTCCCCTTGGCCAAATGAGAGAGTGTTTGAGCAGTAGGAGAATAATGCTGAAACTGACTGGAACACATCAGATATAAACAAATCCATGAGTTCAAAATGATACTCTTCATCTGCAAACCAGCTTAATCACTACTGAAGGTGACAAGGTCACTAACTCAAAGCTGGAATATGTATAAATAAGGGGACAGAACCAACCATTTATTCTGCCTTTCCTATAGGAATTGTACTAATGTTTGTACCTTAGCAGTGAACTTTGCACTTACTATATACTATCTTACAGCATTTATGTGTCATCTCTATAAAAGTCTAACTTCTCTGTGGGTAAAGTCATCATTATAAACTTTCAGACTGTCCTAGAGTACACTATTCATTGTAGGTTCTCAAATAATACTGCTTGAATTAATGAATCAAAAATCTTAATGAGGTCTGGTCCAACTAATGTTCATGGAAAAAATTTCCCCCACCTACAGTTGGGATCTGCAGTTGTGACAATAATATTCTACTATTATTAGAAAGATCATAGAAAACAATATAAGAAATTATATCATTTTCACAGACTCGACTCACCTGGACTCTAGATCCAGCGTAATTTCTATCAGAGACGTATCTGAATCATCAAAGATTTTTTCTAAGCTAATGTGCTTCTCCATTTCCTCTAATTCTTTCAGGCATTGAAAGTACTAGGCACAAATCATAAGTGAGTTAATTTTAATTAAACCAATGGAATATTTATAGACATTTGGAACAATAGCTATTGGACATTAAGTACCCATATCCCATTGCCATTGAGTTGATTCTGACTCATAGCCAGCCTATAAGACAGAGTATAACTGCCCCATAGGGTTTCCAAGGCTGTCATCTTTATGGGAGCAGATTGTCACTTCTTTTCCCCTTGGAGCAGCTTGAGGGTTTAAACTGCTGACCTTCTGGATACCAAGCAAGTAATGAATTATTGGGACTCCAGGACTCCTTCATCAGGTACCACCATCCCCCAGACTCTCTTAGGGTACTGAAAGGAAGAAGCTGCCACAGGTCCACAGGCAGGCTGGAACCCAATGCGTACCCAGAGGGACTTCACTTACCTTGGCACGGTCGGGATCACAATAGTCCAAGAGAGAATCACAAAAATGATAGCCCATTGATTCCAAGTCTTTTGTGTTGAAGTGAGTGCCTCGTTTATTACCTAAAACATCAATATGTTTATCTACCCAATGGTCAGTTAGCCCCTTGTCCTTAGCAGGGAGGCCTAAGTTTCAAGCAGAGCAGAAACAGAACTTCCTATATGACTCCACAGCCACTGCTTTTGATTTTCCTCTTTGGGGCAGATTATCTAACGGCTGATTGCTTTCTATTGCTCCCTCTTCATCACCCTGATCAGAGCTGATTTAACTCAGATTAGTCTGTGTTGTAAGGCACAAGAAAACGCAAGACAGTTACGCAGCACCTGGTTATCAGTTACAATCAGCTCAAATAACCCCTCGAAGCAACACTTGGATAAAGAGTGTATTATGAAAAAATGTTTTCATCATCATGAATAATCGTAAATCAGTTCCAAAGTAGGTTCCACTTTAAACGAAAAAAAAAGCATTTTTTGCATTTTCCTTTGAATTAACACATTTTCTAATTAGGCAACATTTACCTTCATACACAGTTCTCCAACTGCCTTAGATACGCTAGATGTGGTTAGAAGATTTCATAAATGGGACTACAAACAGAGCTTCGTAGTTCAGAGAACCAAATGCTTCCATTTGAAAGTTGATAAAACAATTGGTCCATTTTGCTTTGCAAATAGCAAACCCATTAAAAACATTTCTACCTAATATTTTAAGTTGGTACTTTACAAAAAAAATTATAGTCTTCTGTATGAACCCTTTTAAAAAACAAAAAGCCCCAAACAAGCAAAGATTAGTTCATGAAACCAATGACTCTATTTGCAGGCAGTCCCCGGATTACCAATGAGTTCTGTTCCTAAATCTATTTTCAAGCTGAATTTTGTAAGTTGGAATAGTTTGGTACAGTTCATATCTAATGTCAGTTAGTCAAATATTTATCTTAGTATATAGTGTACCTTTCTTTGCCTAAAAAACATTAAAGAAGCACTTTCAGATACACTAAAACATCTTTAACATAATAATACAGTAATAATAATAATGTTTTGTTGCAAGGGAGTGCCCATCTGTTGTTTCAAACATTTCATACACCTTGAATTTTTAATAGAACAGCCTTTAGAGAAGTCGGTTTGTAACTACAGGTTGCACAGAAGTTCGTAGCCCAGGGACTGCCTGCACTTGCTACAACCTCCCTGTCTCAATGAAAGGAAATGATGGACCAGGACCATCGGATAGTGGGAGGTTATCTACGCATCCCACTTACATAATTGATTGAATATCAGTATGTATGTAAGCAGAAAGAAAGTGCTTTCTATCAAATCGTCCGCACCACAACATTTAAACAGGCCTTTGTTTGAAGCTTTGCGCGGCTGCAATGACAACGCTGCTCTTACCCAGAGTGGAGCCGCAAAAAGTGGCCTCCATGGTGAAGCTGTTCCTGATCCCCATTCTCCACATCACCACCCTCCCTGTTCCCTCTTTGCTCTTCTGAACATTGAACTTGCAAGCTGAGAATGAAAACTGCAAAGAAGCACACACAGTGAGGTTGGTTTTCTGGCAACTATGCCTTTCTCAGGAGCTCTGGTAGCATAGCGGCTAAGACACTTGACTGCTAACCAGAAGGCTGGCGGTTCAAACCCACCAGCCACTCCTCGGAAAGAAGATGGGGCAATCTACTTCCGTAGTGATACTGCCTCGGAAACCCAAGGAGGGGTCGCTATGAGTCGGGTCCGACTCCATGGCACGTAACAACAACAACATGCCTTTCTCAGAAGTGACGTTGGAAACGAAAAGTAGATGTGCAAAGGCAATGTTCTTACTGAAGCTTCAGGAAGTGATTTTTATCTCCTGATCAATGGAGAATAATCCCACTTTAAGGATGACACACACCTCTGAGAAGTACAGATTTAATTCTGGCAATAGATTTTACTTATTTTTAAATTGATATATAACGTATGTGTTCAAAACCATTTCACTAATTCTTGATCCCACTGGAATAAGATCTTACATTTTAGAAGGAACTTAAACATACTGAAGAATGTGGATCAACATTGTACATTTCCAACAATAGAATAAAGCTTCTCTCTTTCCATGTGAAAGACCTTTAGAAAGCTGCCCTGGAAGGCTGCTACGTACCAGTGTCTAAAAGAGCTTTTGTAAGGTAAATTAATATGCAATGAAATGGACTATTTTTTTGTGTGAAGTTCTATGGATTAGCACTTGTCTAGATGGGCATAACCTTCACCACAATCAGGATTCAGGAAGAGTTCCAGCATTCCTAAAAACTTCCTCATATTATCCTTCTGCAGTCATGCCTCCTCCCTGACCAGTCATGCCCTCCTCCCACCCCCAACCCAGCGACCTTCGATCTGCTGGCCTCTGTCACTATGTTGTTGTTGTTGTTATGTGCCGAGTCAGACCTGACTCATAGCGACCCCTCCTTGGGTTTTGGAGGCAGTATCACTATGGAAATAGACTGCCCAACCTTCCTTCCGAGGAGTGGCTGGTGGGTTTGAACTGGCAGCCTTTTGGTTAGCAAGCAGTCAACTGCCTTATGCACTACACTACTGTTTTGTTTTTTCAAGCCTGTCATATAAATGAGATCATATGAAGTGTAACCTTTGAGACTGGCTTCTTCAGCTTAACAGAATTCTTCTGGCATCCAGCCAACTTGCTGTGCATGGCAGTAATCCACTCCTTTCTGGTGCATGGTGTGATTCCATTGGACAGATGCACTAAGGTTTGTTTATCCACTTACCAGTTAAAGGACATTTTGGGGTGTTCCCTGGTTTGAGCAATTACGAATACAGTGGTTATAAACATTTGTGTATGTGTATTATGGGAATGTAAGTTTTCATCTCTCTAGGGTAATACCTTGGAGTGGGATTGCTGGATCCCACGGTAAACATAGGTTTAATGTGATAGGAAATTGAAACTATTCTTCCAGAGTGGTCATACCATGTTGTTACTCCCAGCAGCAGTGGATGAGTTTCAGGTGTTCCATATCCTTGTCAGCGCTTGCGATTGTCAGTATGTTTTTAAATTTAGCCATCCTAATTGGTGTGTAGTATTATCTCCTTGAATAAATTTATATATCCTTGCATACTATCTTCTAGTACTAGATTACTAAGAGAGGAATCTGAAGTCTCCAATTACAATTGTGCATTTTGGTAAGAAACACTTAAGGGAAAACCTAGAGATATTTTTAAGCAGACTTTCCATTATATGGAAGATCTGTTTTAATTGCAGACCACTTAGTTGTTTGTGGTTTTTAAGAAATTGGTCCACTTCATCTAAGACCACAAAAGGTTAGTGATCTAAGACTCTAAGAACTATGTCAATAGCCTCAATGTTGAAACATCTTAGTAGCAGAGGGTCATTTTACAGAAGCCATAATCTATATTTAAGGGCACTGACTTATCAACTTGATAGGAGCAGCTTCAGGAGTGGGGCTGGTCTTTCTGGTGTTTTCTTTTCCATTTGGGTAAGAAATCAGTGCTTTTTGTAAATAGCTCTTATTATCCACTCACCCTTTGCTTCACATGTTGATCCTCAGTTATCCCAAGAGAACAAGTAGTACTTCCCAGGAAGTCCTTTGGAACTAAACTGGCTAGTGGATGACCTGTTGTTGTTATGTGCTGTTGAGTCGGACCCGACTCATAGCGACCCTCCTTGGGTTTCCGAGGCAGTATCACTACGGAAGTAGATTGCCCCATCTTCCTTCCGAGGAGTGGCTGGTGGGTTTGAACCACCAGCCTTCTGGTTAGCAGTCAAGGGTCTTAGGCACTAAGCTACCAGAGCTCCTTAAGGGGATGTTTATAGGAGTTATCTTTGCTATATTAAAATTTAGGTATTTTTTTTCTAAAGAATGACTAAAGTAATTTTCACACATGGTAAATAAGTAACTCCAAGACTTCTACCTTCTGAGAAAAATAATAATAATACACTTTTTATCCTTTTCTCAAGCTAAGTTCTACTTTTGAAACACTGATAACTTCACAAAGTCTCCCTAAACATTCCACATGATTGCTTTCTTATGATTAACTGTATAAAGCACTCAAAATAGCTAAGTAAGAAATTCACTTGATAGGACTGCCCATTCACACAGGGGCAGCTTTTAGTACAGGGAAGGTTAGAATCTTAAATGGTGCTTACTTTATCCGGACAATTTTTGCTCAGCATAAGCGGGAAGATGCGTTGCTGTAAATACAGCCCTTTCGCTCTGTCGCTGCCATCACAGCCATACATGAAGATGTTCTCTTTCCTACTGTGGCCGTGCAGGTCACAGTATAAAAGGACCTCTCGTTTCTCCATCAGCCTACCAAGGAGAAAAAGACCACGTTACTACGCTATGCCTCTGCGTTTTTCTTCTATGAGGGCAACTATGCCAGGGTCATTTTCAAAGAAACACAATTTATCCTAGCCTTCCATTTCTCCTTCTCATCTGTGCTGCATATTAACACAAACATACGATTCTTAAAAGTCTGCAATACATTTCTACCGACCGTAGGTAAAGTCTGAATATTCTAGCCTTCCACAATCAGGCCCAGATAGACCTTTTAACCTGCTCCAAGATTTTCTCCACCAGGACCCCTCTGCCTTATTATCTGGGTCTCTGTTGTACGCAGAAAGCAGCTCACTCTGGTCTTTGCTCGTCACCTCTCACATGGATTCCACATTCCAACTGGAGTGTCTCTCTTCATCTCTGTGTCTGCAATGCTACCCCCACCCCCATCCTTCATGACTGACCTCAAGTCTCCCTTCCTCTCTGAAGAGAGGGAATGGTCCTCCTTCGAAACTCTTACAGCATTTAACACTGGTTCTGTTTAGTTGGCACTTGCCCAGATTTGGTATTTATGTCCATTAAGGGTGAGAAACACTTCAAGCCGCCTAGCCTAGTGCTATGCACATAGCAAGGACTCTGATACTTACTGAATAACTAAACAGCTGATGAGTTGGTGCTGAAGCCAAGTAATATGTAACCCTTGATTAAAGTGACAGCGAAGTCTCACTTTGAAAAGAATGGTACCAAAGCTTAAATTGATTTTTTTTCCTGGTAGAATTCTAATACATACATATATGTATATATTTAAATAATATTTTATTGTGTTTTTGGCGAAAATTTACACAGCACATGAGGTTCCCATATCACAATTTCTATACCAATTGGTCAATGCCATGAGTTACGTTCTCACAGTGTACCACCATTCTCTTTAATGACATTCTGGTTGCTCTGTTTCCAGAGCTCTAGGCTCCCTGCCCCCTTATCTTCCCATCCTTGCTTTAGAGTCACTGTTGACCTTTTGGCTCATAAATATTTTAGAGAAATGATCCCACATTTCTTAAGAGCACAACCCTTAGTGTATAATTTAGACACTCAGTGAATATTACAACCATCAAAAACAAGCTACAACAACTGAGTGATGAAAATGACTAACAGTTGAGGCTTTCAGGAGGTAACAGGTGGTGGTGGAGGTAACATGGTAGGATCATGAGCATTATTTTCCGTATCTCCAAACTTTATATAGTTATATAAGTAATATTACTATATTGTTAAATAATGAAAATTATAATTTGTTATACATGGAAGGATACATAGCACCATGTTATCAAAGGCAATTATAGTACCATAAGATGCATTACTTTTATAACAAAAATATTAAAAACCAAAACATTCTAAGCATAGCTTCTATCAGAAACAATAGTACTTTATAGTGAAATCCCAAATGGAAATCAGCTACATGTATTAATTTATTGCCCTGTTCTCCCTTGGTGCCCAATACATTCTAATTGATAACATCACATTGTCATAAAGCCAGTGATAGTTAGGTGTTTAGAAAACCAGGTTATAAACATGGTATCACGTGACGCCCTTAGACATGAAACCTACAAAACCTGTTGCCTCGAGGAGATTCCGACGCATAGTGACCCTGTAGGACAGAGCAGATCTACGTCTAGGGTTTCCTAGGCTGTGATCTTTACGGGGAGCCCTGGTGGTGCAGTGCTCAACTGCTCGGCTGTGAACCGAGAGGTCTGTGACCACCAGCTGCTCTGTGGGAGAACGAGGAGCAGGGCTCCCATGCAGATCCACGGCCTTAGAAAGCCTCCGGGTGGCTCATGCGTCCTGCAGGATTTGGGGTTGGAATTTGCTCAACGGCAATGGCTGTTCTGAATCTTCATGGAAGCAGACCGCAAGGCCTTGTCCCCTGTGGAGTGGCTAATGGGGTTGAACCGCCAAACTTTCAATTCACAACTGACTGCTTAAGCACTGCGCCCCCAGGGCTCTTTATGTATGAAACTTACTGAATATTTTCTAAACAAAAAGTTCCTCATTTTTAATATCTTTCCGTTTCTTATACGTGAATCAAAAGAAACTTCTACTTCCGAGTGATTGATTCCTAAAGAGATGCGATCGCTTCGGAAGTGTTTCCTTTCGGATCTTACACTAAGATCTCTCCCTCTTATTCTCACACACAGGTAGCTCCCACTCGCACTGGGGTTCCACTCCCACAACAGGATAGTAAGGCAGTTCTGATGGGAGATGAATATCTCATTATTATTTTTTTTTCAGTTTTCATTATTGTCTTTTATTATCAGTATCGTTATAAACCTAATCTTTGAACATCTATGAGTGAACATCTGAGAATCAGAACATTAGCTGACAATGTGCAGCAACACTGTAAGTAGTGTCTTTTACCAATGCTAAAGTGTGCCCCTGCCTCCAAAACAAAAGATGGTCCTAAGTGCAGACTGAGGTAATTAGAATCCATGCTGAGTTTGGGACTACCTGTACTATACACATAAATTCAGTATTAGTTGTGCTTGGTGGTCACCTTTCCACAAATATGTGACCTCCTCTCCTCCTTACCTGCCTGCTATCAACTGCCTACGGTCCTTCTCTTGTAAATCTTTCAGAAACTTACTGAGTAGGCTCCTGCCTTAACTTTCTCACAAACTGAGAAAAGCTGAGACATGTCCATCTCCATAGAGACATGCCAAGGGGCTTTGGCGTGCAGTCCACCTCGTGTTAGACCAAGGGTCCTTAATGTCAATGAGCAGTAGGTAGACAATATACATTCTTCAGTGGGCATCCCACCAGCTACCCTTTTATGGGGCAAAAAAAACTACACATTTCATTTTGGAATAATTTTAGATTTGCTAAAAGTGCAAAAATAGTGCTGAGAGTTCCTGTACTCTTGGAGTCACGACCTTACATAACCATGACCCAGAGTCTGAGTCATGACCCAGAGGGTCACGATCTCCATAACCATGGCATGCTGTCAAAGACCACGAAGCCAACACTGTACACGACTATTAACTCTCATCTTTGTCTCCACTTCACTGAGGTCCTGCTTCAGCCCAGAATCCAATCCAGGATGTATGACCTCAAGTGTGCTCAGTTCCTTTTTCAGACAGTTTTCTATCCCCAGGAGGAGGAGGAGGTCATGGGTTTTCTTACATCATGTAAACATTTCTCAAATGTTACATCATAAATCTACCACATTTACAATAGGTATGACACCAGGGCTCAGCCCCTTTTGTAGAGACCTGCACTTCACACCCTTTGCTTCCAAGCAGACACAAGGATTAGCAAGACCATGAGCGCTGAGGCTGAACTGCCTGAGACAATCAGACCTCTCCAAGGCCCCTCTGAGGGCCCAGAAGTATCCTGGGTCCTCAGCCCTGAGACAGGACCCTTGTACCAAAGCTGACTGGGATAATCTATAAAAGTTCACCAAGAATTTTCACATCCTATCTAATCCAACTAACAAGTCATTTTTCCTTTTTCCTTTGAGGAAGCACTCTGAGTGCATTTAGGGATTTCTATGTTCCAGGTCCCATTCATTTCCTCATTTAAGCCTCCCACCTGTGGTAATATTTTTATTCCCATTTTACAGATGACAAAACTGAGACTTAGACTGGTTTTCCAATTGCTTGAGGTCATACAGTTAGTAAATGATATAGTGGGGATTCCAATCTGAGATGCTTAGGCCTGGGTCCATGCCCATAAAACTTAAGAGGTTTTGAACTTGGAACGGGTGTCCTCTGATACCAGGAGGTCTTTCTCCTGTGCCACAGACACATCTCTGAGGGTCACGACCTGAGCCTGTCGAAGAATTCAACTCGTCATTCCAAAACTGTTTATACTATGTGCATTTTACTGCTCTAGATTCTTTGGAGAATTTAAAGTTGCTCAATTCCAGTTTTCCAAGGGGAAGTAAGACTAGTGTACGTGAAATAAATTATATAACCTGATAATCAAAAGATCCAACAACAATGATCACCACAGTACTAAAGTCTTCTGTGACATAGAGCTCATGTTCACGTGCAAGGGACCCTAGGGTCCCCAGTAAGTATCAGTGCTGCCATCAGCTTCAGCAAGATATCATTTGAGATATGCAAGTTTAACCATTAGTTTCAAGACATTCTAGAATCTGTTCTGTTTAAGGGAAGGCATGTGAATCCAGTGGCCTCACGTTGTAAGGCTGTGGAACCAAGCAGTGGGGGAAAAAGTGAAGCAGCCATTGCTAAACTCTCTTAAGGAAAGCTAGAGACAAGGAAGGGGATCGTGGGATCAAAATTCTTACTACCAAGCTTGCTAAAGGAGCAGGGTGGTAACTTGAGGCTTATTTTACCTACGGATCATGTTCCGGGTATACCAAACAGAAGGAAAAGATTCCTTCAGGACAGATGTATAGCTACGGTTTAAATCCCGTCCAGCTAAGGAACACCGATAATTGCCCACAATCACACCATCTGGATTCAGCATGGGTACCACCTTGAAGATAAAAGTGTCCCGAAGCAACTGCGCATCACTTGAGTCTCCTAAAATATAATCTAGGAAGCCTTTCATGATCCATGAACTGTTGGTTTCTCCTGGATGGACCCTCGCGGTCAGAATCACGGCCTTGCGCTGTCTTGGCTCCGTGATCTTCAAGGGGTTAGTGATCGTTAAGACGTACACCATGTTCCTAGCGAGCGTGTGGCACAAGACACGGATTTTACAAAACTTGGAGCGCACGGGGTCACCATTGATGCCAGAAAGGTAGTCCTGCAGGTTGGAGTAAGTGTACGGGTAGCAGTGAGCAAAGTAGCACGTATCCTTGTTGTGCGGAAACTGAAAGGTCCACGTCAGAGAGAAATAGTGGCGCCCATCTTGCCCCAGGTTGTTCCTGTAATACTTGATTTGGTCTCCCACCCTCTTCCAGCCAACATGATGAGCCTCGGCTTCCTTCTCGGAATAGAAGAGAGGGCGCATGCCTCGATTGTACAGACTAGCAGGCTTGGTGAAGTTGACGATCGTGAACCTGTAGGCTATGCCTGCTTGGGTGTTTGTGACTTGGAAGTAGTACCACTGGGTGTGTTTATTTGTGAAGAGGTCCGGACGCACAGTCAACTGGTACTCGTATTCTGCCCTAATACACAGAAGGAAAGGGAGCAAGCACACGAGATGTCAAGACGACATTCAAGGTTAAATTAAATTAGGAAAATTATTTTATTTTCATTACACATAGAAAGCTTTTCTTTAAGATACACTTATTGATTGCTGCTGCATTGTAAATTTTGGTCAATGACATGAGACAAAGTATATGTGAACTGCTGTATGAAAAGTGAATTTACTCTCTAAATCTTCACCCAAATCCTAATAAAAAGAAAAAAAAAAAAAAAGATACACTTATTGAGGCAGCCCCCAGTAGCAAGTGATTGCTTAAGAGAAGCCTTTTGAAATTCTTTCATTAGATGAGAAACCATTGCTCCGCTAATTCTAAAGAAAGTCTCGTATTCCTTTGTCTTTAGAAAACACAGACAAACACGGACATTTAATAAAAAAATCATTTTGATTCAAGTATGTTTCCTATAAAAGAAATGACCAAACAACTCTTGAAACAAAGTTCCAATACTTCCTTTTTTGCTACATCTTCTCTTTTCTGTTAGAGACTAATTCCAGAGATCTGAAGTAACCACTGCTGAGAAACGTTTAAAAACACATACAAATTAATATGATCACATAGATTACAAAATTTTAAACTCCTTGAGGACAAGGACCATATTTGATGACTATCTGTACGCTCATGTTTAGCACATTGAAGATGTCCAAATAAAGGCAAAAACAGTGATTTCATTGGTACCTCACTTACCTACCTAACAATCTTATCTGGTTAGTTGTGACTTGTTTTCTTTACTAAACAGGTTTCTACTCTATCAACACTAGACACTTAGTGTGTATAGTGTGTGTGTATGGTTATAAAGAATAACTTGGGAATAGATGAAAAAAGACTGCAAAATCTTTATAGCTGCTGAGCCCAGGTAATGGGTGTAGGTAATTAATATAGAATTGTACTGTGCTCTCTACTGTAGTGTATCTTTACAATTTTTCATAATAAATAAACATTTTTTTTTAAAAAAAGAATGCCCTTGGGCAACATGTTCCTAAAGCATATTTAGGGAACACTCATCCCAAGAACTCAAACCAAAACTCACTGCCATCGAGATGATTCTGACAAATAGAACCCCATTGGGTTTCCAAGACTTTGAATCTTTACAGAGGCAGACTGCCTCATCTGCCGTGGAGCAGCTGGTGGGTTCAACACACCAACCTTTTGGTTGGCAGCCAAATGCCTTAACCACTCTACCACCAGAGCTCAGTCCATTGAAAGTTTGAGCAGCACTGTATGTGTGTCATGAAACACATTAGCCTACTGAAAATATAGTCCCTTGCTTAACTTAAACTCACAGTCTCAAAATTATTTGAACTAAGAACCCTTTTTGCACCTTCTATCCCTGTAATGAAAGGTGGTGTGCAGTGGTTAAAGCATTTAGCTGCCAACCAAAACATGTGACTGCTCCCAGAAGGCTGGCGGTTTAAACCCACCAGCCACTTTGCAGGATACAAATGAGGCAGTCTGTTTCCATAAAGATTTATAGCCTTGGAAAACCCTATGGGGCAGTTATACTCCATCCTATAGGGCTGCTATAGGTCAGAATCTACCCTTTGATTTTGGTTTGGTATCCCTGTAATAATTTCTCATTAACATTTATATTTCAAGGAACTATAGGTGGCACGGGAGCTCTGGTAGCATAGTGGCTAAGGCACTTGACTGCTAACCAGAAGGCTGGCAGTTCAAACCCACCAGCCACTCCTTGGAAGGAAGATGGGGGCAATCTACTTCCGTAGTGATACTGCCTCGGAAACCCAAGGAGGGGTCGCTATGAGTCGGGTCCGACTCGACGGCATATAACAACAACAACAACATAGGTGGCACAGTGCCTATGGCATTTACTGTGAAACAGAAAGCTGCCAGTTCAAGCCCACCAGCTGGAAGGAAGATGAGGCAATCTACTTCCGTAAAGATTTACTGCCTTGGAAACCCAATGAGGGTCACTGAGTCGGAATCAACTCGATGGCAGTGGATTTGGTTTGGTTTGCGTTTAATGTATAGTAAGAACTTTAGGGTACAGAAAATAACAGACAGTTGATAGTCTAGCTCCTTAAATAAAAGCAATTAAAACCTACACTTTGACTACCTTCTGTAGGTTACCACTCTCAAATCTTGCTTCAAATATCAGCGTGTTGTCACAGTCACCCACGGGCTGCTTCAGCGGTGTTCGGTTGCCCCCCACTCGAGAATACACAAAACAGGGTTCTTTGTAAGCTGATGAGAGAAGACCATAGAGACACAAGCCATGATTGAAGCACACGGACTATTATGAATACAGTTCGGAGCTAGAGTGAAAGTAATTAAAGTTCCAGTAAAGATAGAAAAGTTTAAAGTAATCTGACATGATTTATATAGCTTTACCTTGTGTAGTTCAAGTTCTGACTAGACTAAATCAACCTCTCTACCCCTAACTCATACACAACTTCAAGGCCCAGCACCTAGAAAGTTCCACCCACTTCCAAGTCAGAAACCATTTACCAATGATTCTACTGACACACGGAAGATGCACACCATTTGACAAAGAAAAATTACAAGGCATACAAAAAAGCAAGGAAAATCTCCTAGTGCACCGTCAAAAGGCAGGGCCATCAAGACAACCAGACTCAAATATGATAAAGGTGTTAGGGCGATCAGATAGGAAATTTAAAGTAACCATGACAAGTATAGGAACTCAGGTGGCGTAGTGCCTTAGACATGTGACTGCTAACCAGAAGGCTGTCAGTTCAAACCCACCAGCCACTCTTCAGAAGGAAGTAGGGGCAATCTACTTCCGTAGTGACCCTCAGAAACCAAAGGAGGGGTTGCTATGAGTTGAAATCAACTCGACGTCAGTGAGTTTCCTATTTTTTTTTTTTTTTAATAACAAGTATGGGAGCTCTGGTGGCATAGTGCCTAAGGCATATAACTGCTAACCAGAAAGCTGGTGGTTCAAATCCACCAGCCACTGGGCAATCTACTTCATAGAGATACTGCCTCAGAAGTGTATAAGGGCTACAGTGGAAAACGTAAAAACATGCGAGATCACATGATTATATGTTTAGCAGAAAGCTGAATGAAAAGAAAGTTCAAGTAGCTATATTAATATCAGACAAAGTAGACTGCAGGGATACAGCTACAATAACCAACATGGTGGTATTAGCATAAGAACCAACAGACTAATGAGGAGTCTAGAAATCAGCCCACACATAAATGGTTAATTGACATTCAGTAAAGGTGGTCAAAGGAGCTGTGGTGGTGCAAGTACCTAAGGCATCTGACAGCTAACCAGAAGGTTGGCGGTTCAAACCCACCATCCACTCTGTAGAAGGAAGACAGGGCAATCTACTTCCATAAAGATTTATTGCCTCAGAAACCCAATGGGGTTTGCTATGAGTTAGAATCGACTCAATGGCAGTGGGTTTTTTTTTTTTTTTTTTTTTTTTTTTTTTTTTTTAATTTTTATTGTGACCTTGGTGAAAGTTTACAGGGCAAATTTACTTTCCATACAGCAACTCACATACACTTTGTCTCATGATATTGACTACAATTTACCACAATGCAACAGCTCCCCTCCCATTTCCTCCCCAGAGTTACCTCTTCCCTGTGTCTTTCCCTCCTGTTTTGGTTCCCTAGTGCCACTCCGACAAGAATATACCACAAGGGGGATGCCCCTAACAAGCAGGAGTTTATTCTCTTACAGTTCGGGAGGCTAGAAGTGCCAGACTCTAGGGGCTGGGTGAAAGCTAACTGACCTTGGGTTTCAGCTCTGCTTCTTGCTCCCAGCCCACTGGAGCTAGAGGCATCTTTTCACTCAGGCAGCTACTGGCTACTGAGGCTAACAAGCCTAAGGCCAACAAATAAAATGGCACAGTCCTGATGTTACCAAACCACATGGCAGGCCATTGATTCAAGTCCATTGAAAGTCCCAAGATTGGCAGAACATGGCAGGCTGCTGAACAACAACACAGCTACATGCAGGGTTCAGACATGCCAGAAGCTGGAGACTATTCCCAAAGCTGTTTCTTATATACGGGAAGCAGATCACGTCCCTAAGGCAGCTACTCAGCTGCTCACAGTAGATTCCACCATGGAGCTGATTACCAGTCTCATCATGGGGAATACTACATCCAGCTGCCCAGCCACTCAACCAGGCCTAGCCAAGTTGACACACAAACTTAACCACCACCGCTCCCATGCACTCCTGCCTCCGAGCTGTCTTCCTATGCATACACAACCCTTCTACTCTCCCATGATTGATCTCTCCAAGGAGTGTATCCACCTAATGCAAATGTTCAGCTCACATGCCTGTCTTTTGATTGGCTGGAAGCCATAGGAGTGGGTTAAATTCCAGACCTGAAGGGCAGCTAGGGGCCATAGTCTCAGTGGTTCCATCAGGCTCTATCAGACCAGCAAACCTGGTCCTTTTTTTAAAAAATGATTTTGTTCCACATTGCTCTACCACCCTACCCGGGATCTCAGTAGGAGATGAGGTTAACAGTGGTTAACCTCCGAGTGGTTAACAGTGGTGGCCAGGCACCATCTCATTCTTCTGGTCTCATAGTCATATAGGCTGAGGACTGCATGATGTACTTGGACTAATTGTTTCCATGGAGCTTTGGTTTTCTTCATTCTTCATTGTTCTGGATGAGAAGAGACCCATCGTTGCATCTAGCTGGCGACTTGCAAGCTTTTAAGATCCCAGTTGCTACTCACCAAAGTAGGAAATGGAGCAATGTTTTCATGTGGTATGTTCTGCCAACTGAGCTTGATGTCCCCTGTGACTATGGTCCCGAGTCCATAGGTCCAACTACTTGCTCCCTCTGGCTAGCTGGCTGTGGCCAAGAAGTGACTACAACCATGCCCCCTGTCAGCTCTACTGTATACCTGGGAATTCTTACAGAACACACTGATATACTTGTAGAAACACTGTCTGCCAACCCTACACATGATCATGAGCACATTCCCCCCTGGACAGACATACCTAACAGTTCAGCCTGTCCACTCCTCTATCCATCCATGGATCAATGTTTGCCTTCACTGACAACACAGTACTGTATATGCAAAAGTTCATCTTTGTTGTCTGCACCTCCTATGCACCTCTCTATGTCTTCCTCCTCCTCAATGCCACTATATTGATCACTCACATTTGGTATACTGCCCTTCTAGTCATCCAAATCAACACTTGTCTTTACCTATCTAATAGTGTTTCCTTCCCTCCCCTCCCACCCCTGGTAACCAACAAAGAAAATTTCCTTCCATATATAAACCTTTCAGTGACTTTTTACAATAATGGATTAATACAATATATGTCCTTCTGTGATTGACTTATTTCACACAGCATAATATCCTGCAAGTTCACCCACATTATGCATTGTTTTGCAGATTCTACACTATTCTTTAGGGTTGCATAGTATTCCACTGTGTGTATGTACCATCGTTTGGTTACCCGTTCCTCTGCTGATGGGCACCTGGGTTGCTTCCATCTTTTGGCTATTGTAAATAGTGCTGCGATGAACACGAGTGTGCATATGTCTGTTCTTGAACTGGCTCTCGCTTCTTTAGGATATACACCTAGTAATGGAATGGCTAGGTCAAATGGTATTTCTAATTTCAACTTTTTAAGGAATTGCCATACCACTTTCCACAGTGGTTTTATCATTTTACAGTCCCACCAGCAGCATATGAAAGTCCCTATCTCTCCTCATCCTTGCCAGCATTTGTTATTTTCTGTCTTGTTGAACTTTGCTACTAGTGCTGGGGCCACATGGTATCTCACTGTTGTTTTGATTTGCATCTTTCTAATGGCTAATGATCATGAATATTTCTTCATGTGTTTGTTGGCTGCCTGAATATCCTCTTTGGTGAAGTATCTACTCATGTCTTCTGCCCATTTTTAAACTGGATTATTTTTCTTTTTGTTGTGGAGGTGCTGGAGTTTTCTATAAATTCCGAAAATAAGTCCCTTGTCAGATATGTCATTGAACAGCAGTTGGTTTTAAGGTGGTCAGGCAACTGCATAAACCGTTGGGGAAGAAAATAAGCCTCGGGAGACATCAACTGGCAAACGAGGACAACTACAAACCAAAAAGAGGGAAAATACTGTGTAGTTACACATCTTCTAAATGGTAAGGAAGTCAAGAGAGTTGCAAGATAGAATAGACTGTTCTAAACTCGGGGAGAAAATTATAAATCACAGGGTAACCTCAAAGAAAAATGATAAACCTTCACATCACAATAAAAAAGAGGACAAACACAAATATTCAGCAAATACT